CATACACACACACACACACACACACACACACACACACACATGTAAAAAAATGGATTATAGTAGAACTTGCTTCATTTGTGGGTGGGAGGGTATGTCTCTGTGTGCACCTGTGTACATACCCATGAAAGCCAGAGGACATCAGGTGTCCTGCCCTGTCACTCTGCTTTATGCCTTTGAGGTAGGGTCTCAACCTGGAACTCACCAGTTCTGCTAGGGTGGCTGGTCAGGTCCCCCCCGCCCCCAGGATCTGCTTGTCTCTGCTCCCCAGCACTGACATAACAGGCACACTTGAGCCATGTCAGTTAGCCTTTTTCCCCCCACTTACAAAGATGCTAAGGATTCAAAATCAGGTCTTCAAGCTTCCATAGAAAGTGACCTTACCACAAAGCCATCTCCTGAGCCCCTCATGTTTTTGTAAGAATGAAATGTGATGCTACATATAAAGAACTTCTTCAGGCTTCCAACATGGACTGAAGCCCGGGAGCTCTCCAGGAATATTCCAGACCTTCAGCACCAGATTGGGCTTAGGCGCTTAGGCTCATGGAGTGAGCAACTACTGGGTTCTCAGACTCTGGTGTGAGATAGCCACTGGTGGCTACCCAGGCCATATTGTGTAGGCCAATCTAATAAATCTACTTTTCATATTCATTATATTGGTTCTCATCATCTAGAGAACGCTGGCTTATAACAGCCATCAATCCCATTAATCCTTAGTGTACAAACTGCATAGTGTGTTTGCACAACAGACATGCGGTCTGTAAAATGAGGTTCTGTGAGAGAACAGCACAGTCACATGAAGAAAGCTGGGGCTAGCCAGAGGCAGAGCCATGGTCAGTTTAGAAGTATAGCACCTGGAAAGCTATGCCAGGCACCAGAGCATAGTAACATTCAGCATGTGGATTCTTAGTTAACCTGCCCTGGTTCAGATCCTCACACAAACTGTATGACCCTGAGCAAGTCACAGCATCTCTGCTCTCCTGGAGATTTTACACAATGGAACCTGTGTCTTGTATTTTTTTTACTTTAATTTTTAGTTTTTATGTGTATGAGTGTTTTGCCTCCATGTATGTAAGCACAATCCATGCTGTACAGTACCCATAAGGGCCAGAAGAAGGTGGTGGATCCCTTGTTGTTAGCTGCCATATGGATCCTCTACAAGAGCAGCAAGTGGCTCTTAACCACTGAGCCATCTCTCCAGCCCCCATATATTATTTTGAAAATCAAATACGTTCATTGTAATTGCTAAGAGTTGGCATTATCTGTAGTGTGGACAACAGACTAAAGGAACGTGTGGAGGCTGCTGCAGAACCTGTGGAGGACAGTGGTAGGGTGGGCTGGGTGGTGGCAGTGTGTTGGGACTAAGGGGGCAGGTTAGTACACATGACAGCTCACATTGATGGGGTAATATATGTTAGTTCATAGCCTATGCTCTTTATATGCATCACCACTTCTCAACAACCCATGGGCTAGTGACAACTTTTTTTTTTTTTTTTTTTTTTTTGGTCTTTTTGAGACAGGGTCTCCCTGTAGCCCCAGCTGTCCTGGAACTCACTATGTAGACCAGGCTGGCCTTCCTTGAACTCACAGAGATCTGCCTGCCTCTGCCTCCCAAGTGCTGGGATTAAAAGCGTGTGCCACCACGCCCGGCATGACAATTTATTTTATGGAGGTGGAAACAGCTACTTGGCTTGCCCAGGATCACACAGCCAGTAAATAGAAGAGCCAGAACTCAACACTGACTCCACAGTCTAACCTCTCTGCTTGACGCAGATTCTACCATCTAACCCCTGTTTGTTTCTCACACAAGTAACAGAAGTCACACTCTGCTCATATGTAACCAGTCTGGCTGGGTTAGAATCACTGGTGTAATGATTATCTTCAATGTGCTCTCATCACTTTTAGCTTTTCAGAACTGGTAACCACTGGAAGGACGGTACTGGCATGGAACTTAAAAAACATGTCCAACAAATTTGCTTGTTGAAGATTATTACTGAAATCATGAGATAGCAACTTAAAAATTTTTAGCCAGCCAGGCATGGTGTTGCACGCCTTTAATCCCAGCACTCAGGAAGCTGAGGCAGATGGATCTCTCTGTAAGTTCAAGGAGAGCCTGGTCTACACAGAACTTCTAGGTCAGCCAGGGCTACATAGTAAGACAAAAGGCTGGAGAGATGACTCAGTAGTTAAGAGCATTTGTTGTTCAAAGAGAGGACCTGAGTTCAATACCCAGCAAAGACATCCAGCAGCTCATAACCACCTGTAACTCCAGCTCCTCCCCATGAGGCCTCTGGTCTCCTCATGTGCACATACCCCCCCACCCCAGATTTATACATATATAAAATCTTAAAAATCTTGTAAAAAATTTATCCAACTCTAAGTAAAATAGGAAATCTCCTATTTTCAAAGGACAGTCTTTTAAAAATATTTTATTATTTTTGTTTTATGTGTATGATTGTATTGCCTGCATGTATGCAAATGTACCTATGTTGTGCAATGCCCTTGGAGGTCAGAAGAGGGTGTCACATTCCCCTGGAACTGGAGTGACAGACGGTTGTTAGCCACATATGGTTCCTCTTGCAAGAGCAGCCAGTGCTCTTAACCACAGAGCCATCTCTCCAGCCCCTCAAATGACAGTCTTTATACAGAAAGGTAAAAGTGACCTGGCACATTAACATATACACACACATATGGAGAGAGAGAGAGAGACATACTATTCAGGATACTGAATACACCCTTATATATACAGATGTAAAATGTATCATTTTGGTTCATACCAATTTTCCATAAAGTATTGCTAAAAAATCCCTTACCTTTTAAGTGCACTGAAGAGTTGCTTGTAGCAGTTTCTTTCCAGTTAGCAATATACCTGGACACAGTATATGGACATTAAATTAACATAGTAGTAATAATTCATGAACACATACTTAATGGTGACAAATTCTGTCATCTGAATTTTTAATTTCATGACTTTACTACCTCTGAGTAGGTCAGATACTTCTAAGGCAACCTCCAGGACAAGAAGCTGAAGAGAGGTATTAAAATGGAGCCAGCTGGGTGCGGTGGTGCACACCTTTAATCTCAGCACTCAGAAGGCAGAGGCAGGTGGATCTTTGTGAGTTTGAGGCTAGCCTAGTCTATATAGCAAGTGCCAGGGTAACAGTGAGGTCCTGCCTCAAAATTTTATATAGATACATATAATATAAACAAAAGTGCACCCCTTTTAAAACAAATTCATTTGTAAGTGTTCAAAGCATTTCTGCTATTCCAGTGGTCCAACTATAGAAAACTGTCCAGATTTTGAAGAACTTTCCAAGAAATTGTTGACTACCAGTTTTCCTGTAGGGAGAAATGTCAAACTCAAATTTTCCCCAAACACTGTGTCAATATGTCAGTTACCAACTTCTAGAGTGCTCTATTCAACAGGGAAGTAGACTGGAAGCCACAGCGCAAAGGGAAGTCTGCTCACTCCTGTCTGAAGCTAGGAGGAGGGCTCTGTGAGTTCTGATCCTGCATCAGATAATCGGTGCTTGTGGTCAGGAGTGCTGTTAGTATATTCCCAAATAAATTAAGTTACATTGAAAATTTCTGTTGTCCAGGACTCAGTGGAAACAAACAAAACAAAAACCTAGCTTGCAGTTCACTCGACCCAGAATGAACTGAGATAAGTACATAGCTGGAAACATGAGGTATATGTTTTTTAAATGTTCTAGGAATGACTTCTGTTACAAAGGGAATTTTACCTAGTCTTGTAACCAAAATTAATCTTATGTTTTGAGATCATTTAATTCTTATCTCAGCTTTATAATGTAAACAAGCTTACTAGGCCTTGGATTCCTCTCGTAACCCAAACATTTAGCTTTACTCCCTCATGACCCTTCCTTGCTCCAGACCCAAAATTGTGTGTGTGTGTGTGTGTGTGTGTGTGCGTATGTGTGTGCACATGTGTGCTGTGAAAATGTCAAGCTCTCAAAGCAGCAAATAATATTAGAAGCAAAGAATTGTCCCATTTGTGTTGGTTTTAATGGATGCCAAGAGTCTGGCTGTCTTTGTTCCAGTGTTGCCATAACATATCTCTCTGCCACAAAATGTAAACCTTTAGTTACTCTCACCATACCAAAGTAAGATGTGTTCACCGTGTTCCACATAGAGAATGTAATGAAAAGAAACTATGGGCAGCACAGGAAGTTTTTCTGCACCAGCATCTCCACAGATTGAGCAATGCATTGCACTGTGCTGCTGAAGACGTTGCTAGATGAGCTGCATTGTACGCGCAGGGACCGCTGTCTGTGGTCTGTCACTGTCCAAAACGTTCTGTTGTGCATAACTGTATCTTGTCCCATCCAAGTTTCCTTTTTCATTCTTGCTTTTGTCCTTTCCTTTCTCATTCTTTCCATTTTCTTCCTTTCCTTTGGTCCTTATTCTCTGCCTCTGGTCTTGTCCTCATGGTCTCTTAGTGCCTTATCTGATTGTTCCTTCTTTGTACTCATCAGTCACTTGGGAAAGCTGGCAGAGTCTCAAGTGTTTAAACATAGTTGTCATATAATTCAGTAATTCTGCTCCAAAGTGGGTACAAAGAGAAATGAAATAGATGTCCACATAAAAACTTGCACATGAATGTTCACAGAAACACTATAGTGACATTGCACTGCAGTGACGAAATGCCACTAGAGGATGGGGACTTTTCAACCTCATTGTAATCTCAGGAGACTAAGGGTCCCCTTTTCCCTCCCTCTAACCTCTTGTATGTCTTTTAAAAGTTTTATTATTTATGTATGTGGGTGTTTTGCCTGTATGTATGTAAATACATCCATGATGTGCAATGCCCACAGAGGCCAGAGTGGGTGTCATATCCCCTAGAATTGGAATTACAGATGGTTATTAGCTGCCATATGGGTACTGGGAACTAAACCTGGGTCCTCTCTGAGAATAGCCAGTGCTCTTAACTGCTGAGCCATCTCTCAGCCCCGCTTTCCTGAATTTCGTTATGCTGTCATTTTTATATTTTTCTCTTTGTTCAGGCAGTACCCACATTCTTTATTGTAACTAAACGTATATTGAACATTTTAAAGTATTTTATGAGTATGAATGTTTTGCCTGCATGTATGTAGGTTCACCCATGTTGTGCAAGGTGGTTGTTAGCCACCATGTGGGTGCTGGGAATCGAACTGTAGGCCTCTGCAAGAGTAGCCAGTGCTCTTAACCACCGAGTCATTTCTCCAGCCCCCATACTGAACATTTTAATAGCTTTGATGAGATATAATTCATGTGTTCTGTAGTCCACTCTGCACACTCATCATCCGATCGATTTTCAAACATCATTCCACCAAAAGAAGCTTGGCAAGCCTTAGCTATGACCCGTAACCCGAGTTCCACAGCGTTGGTGACCGCCACTAATGTACTTTCTGTGTATAAATTTGTTCATTCTGCATGCATCACATTGAGATCATGTGATAAGCTTAGTTTGCTTGGCAGTTTCATTGTTACTGTAGGATGTGTCAGTATTTACTGCTGAATAATACATCACATGGACACATCGCATTTTATTTGGCTAATCATCAATGGATGGACATTTGGGTTGTGTCTACTTTTTTGTCACTATAGTGTTTCTGTGAACATTCATGTGCAAGTTTTTATGTGGACATATATTTCATTTCTCTTTGTGCCCACTTTGGAGTGGAATTGCTGAATTATGTGGCAACTCTGTTTAAACATTTGAGACTCTGCCAGCTTGTCTTCCACAGTGGCTGTACCACTCTCTCAGGCCTCTGGCCAACACTCGTTACTATCTGCATTCTTATTTAGAGCCATGCCCATGGGTTGACATGGCATCCCATGGATACCATTTACCTGACAGCTGTATTGAACAGTTTAAAATTTTCGCCATGCAAAATTCTAGCAATACTTCTCAATGGCTATTTATGTCATTGAAATAGAGCAGTTTTTTTGTTTTGTTTTTGTTTATTTATTTATTTATTTTTGGTCTTTTTGAGACAGGGTCTCCCTGTAGCCCGAGCTGTCCTGGAACTCACTATGTAGACCAGGCTGGCCTTGAACTAGAGCTTTTTAATGTCCCAAAAAAGACTATGTTGGGGCTGGAGAGATGGCTCAGTGGTTAAGAACACTGGCTGCTCTTGCAGAGGACCTGTGTTCAGTTCCCAGCACCCACATGGCAGCCAACAACTGTCTGTAACTCCAGTTTCAAGAGAATCCAATGCTCTCTTCTGACCTTCACTGGCATTGCATGACACGGGTACATTTACACACATGTAGGCAATATGCTCATATACATAAAATAAAAATATAAATATTTTTAAAAGACTATGTCATATAGATTGAGGATATTCTTTACATAATTAATCTTATGGTCTTAGTCATGTTTCTAAACACCAAAGTAGAAATAAAGCAGAGCTATACTAAGGAATTAAGAATAGACTATCCCTAGCACTTGGGAGGCAGAGTCAGGCAGATCTTTGTGAGTTCGAGGCCAGCCTGGTCTACATAGTGAGTTCCAGGACAGCCAGGGCTACAAGGAGACCCTGTCTCAAAAAGACAAAACAAACAAACAAACAAAAAAGACTATGGACCCTATGTCTAACTGTATATTTTTTTTTTTTTTTTTTTTTTTTTGTCTTTTTGAGGCATGGTCTCTCTGTAGCCCCAGCTGGCCTGGAATAATTATATCTTTAGTTTTAGATTGCTTTTTCCTTTTTTTTGAAAAAAAATTATTTTTTTTATTTTATGTGTGTTCGTGTATTGCCTGCATGTAGGTAAGTGCACCTGTGTCTTGCAATGCCCGTGGAGGTCAGAAGAGGTTGTCAGATCCCCTGGGACTGGAGTTACGGACAGTTGTTAACTGCCATGTGGGTGCTGGGATTTGAACCTGGGTCTTCTGCAAGAACAACCAGTGTTCTTAACTGCTGAGCCATCTCTCCAGCCCCTAGATTGCCTTTTTCAAAAGTAGATGTTAGCTTCTGTGTAGATAAATAATACTGTTTTCAAAATTATGTTTGTGGCCCCAAGGTTCAACATGGGAATGAGAAATGTTAGAAAGAAAACTATAAGAAAACAGAAACAAGTAACCTCCACAAAAGGCTATCCTGAGAATAAGCAACCAACTTTCCCCTTTCCCCTAAGAATAGCAACAAACTTACTCATCAAAGTTGAGTGTATTTGTCCAGTTGAGCACTTCGTCCACTTCCCATTCCATCACAGAATCAACCCCACCATCTTCAATCGTCTTTATTAGCCCTTTTGTTGCTGTGTGAATTAAACCTAGAGTTTCATGATGAGTTGATTTGGCCTCCAGGCTTCCCATGTAGTACCTGAATAGAGGGAAGAGCAGTGAGTGATCAGAAGTAGACACACTGATAAATGTTGTTGCTATTTATGTATTCAAATTACTTACATAATAAATGAAGTTTTCATCCTACATACTTCAGATGGATCTAAACTAGGATCTATGCCATAGAAAGAAAACAACTTTAATCACGGAATCAAAGAATTAGGGGTGGAAAGAATTTTAGCAACTAACCTAGTTCTCTCATTTTATAGAGGAAGAAATCAATCCTGGCAGGAATTGGATGACTCTTATAAAGTCACGAGGCTGATGGCAGGCAGAGAGGGGACGAGAGGAAAGGAGAGTTGAGGAGGTTGGCCTGCATCCTTATGCCCCATACATTTCATACATTTTTGTTTATTTCTCTTTTAAAAAGATAGCCTTTTGTGGAAGTTACTTGTTTCTGTTTTCTTAGATTAAAAATTAAGATTTAGAGAAGTTAAGGAATTATTTGAGATTGTGAAAGTAGTAAAACTAGAAAGGGCCAATGTTCAAATTTGACTTTTTAAAATTTTATTATTTTAATTTTATGTGTATGAGTGTATTGCCTGCATGTATGTGAGTGCACCCATGTTATGCAATGCTGTGGAGGTCAGAAGAGGGCTTCAGATTCCCCTGGAACTGGAGTTAAGACCGGTTCATAGCTGCCATGTGGGTGCTGGGAATTGAACCTGGGTCCTCTGCAAGAGCAGTCAGTACTCTTAACTGCTGAGCCATCTCTCTAGCCCCCAAATTTGACTCTTAAGTCTAGTCTCCTGTGTGTCTGATATTACTTTAAGCATGTGAATGAGTGTGTACTCCAGACATCAGCAAGTAGAGAGAGGTTATTACTAAAAACACTGGACTATAGGAATGGATTGAGAAGACAAATGTCACAGTGGCGGACTTTGTCACACGATATTAAGGAGTATGCACACAAACAATGGGAATATAGCCTACAACACACCTAAGCTATGTGGGATAGCCTGCTGTCCCTAGGCTACAAACCCATGTAGTGTTACTACAGTGAATAGTGTGGTGACGTGAGCACAAGTGTTCACATATTTAAACATGGAAAAGATACAGTAGAAACACATGTAAGATTTGAAGCGGTACCGACACAGAGCACGTAGATGAAGGAAGTTTGAAGGAAGCAGAAGCTTCTGAGTCAGGGTTGTGAATGAGTGCGGAGACCTAAGGCATCACTACACAGTCGCAGGCATCAATAAATTTTATTTACTCATATTAGAAGCTTTTCTATTCAAGTTTCTTTTGACTTTTCAAACTTAAAAACCTAAGTCACAAATGCACAACATTTGCCTTATCCCTAAGAAAATCAGGATCCTTGGTTATCACCGACTTCAAACTCTACCTCTTGTGCCACTGGGAGGTTTTCTGTGTTAATAAGATTCCTGGAGAAGGCATCTTCTGTGATGTGTCTGCTTCTTAAGCAGTTTAGGCTTTGTATACCCTGTTAGACCCATTCCCAATAAACAACATCTATTTTATACTAAAATAATGCTGTATACTCTCAAGTTTAGAGTTTAACGGATCAGATTGACTCAGGTCAGCTGATGATCTTGTAGTACTTGGGATCCTTTTATCAAGCACCTGGTAATCAGGACCCAGCTTCAAGCCTGGGACTGGTTTTCAAATGGAGAATAGTTTTTACCAGAGAAAAACATATCTATGCCCAAACCCCAGAGGTCCATACCATGATCCTCCTAAGGACTTTTTCAAGAACCCATACAATATTGCACCATCTACACAGCCATTTTCAGACTTGTTGAGACTTCTGGACCATAGAGTTCAAGTAGTAGGCAGCACAACCCCTTTGTGGACCTGCTACCAAGTTATTTCTTGCTCCATGTCTCAATGGAGTCTGCTGGCTTTACTAGGTACCTAGTAAAATGGGTTGGAGCAGGATGGCCAGATTTATCATGTTTTGCATCTCAATAAAGAGTCTGTTTCACCTCTTCAAAATGGATGGTTCAAAGTATAGCAAATATGATACACGTTAGAAAGGATGTCTCAGACGTCTTTAAGCTTCAGGTACGTGGAGATTTCTTTCTTTTTTTTTTTTTTTTTTGGTCTTTTTGAGATAGCGTCTCCCTGTAGCCCCAGCTGTCCTGGAACTCATTATGTAGACCAGGCTGGCCTTGAACTCAAAGAAATCGGCCTTCCTCTGCCTCCCAAGTACTGGGATTAAAGGCGTGCACCACCACGCCCAGCACAGAGATTTCTTTTGGCAAATGTTTTCCCCTTTTTCTAGTGTTACCCAGGGAGCTGTTGTTTTTGGCTGGCTATATCCAGTCATTGTAAGGTCTTGGGAATGGAGATACACAAGCCTTCCAGGACTAGAGCAGGGAAACTGATATCACCCTGAGCCTAACTTATCATTATGCATTCTGTTCTTTCCATGTAAGTGCAAGCTGCTTCGTGATTGGGATGGAAAATATAAGCCAGGTCAGTAGTAGCAATAGGAGGTGCCAAGGGCTTCTCTGATTTGCTCCATTAAACCACGTCTGGAAACTCTATGCCACCCCTGACCTGTAGCACTGTCAAGTTCCCAGTGAACTAGAGCAGCCACACTGCTTTCTTTCCCCACTGTCACCTGCTTCCTGCACAGAACAAGCACCAGAGTCCCGATGCCCAACAGCTCTGCTGCTTCCCTCAAGGCACACTTTAATAATGATATGAGGGTGTTATCTGAGGCTCTTGGGCTGTGGCTACTGGGTAGATTGCACATAATAGAAACAAATGTACATTCTCCTGAGCTTTTACAAGCCCTTTGTAGAATACCAAAGAGAATCAGGTGTGTTGTAATTGAAGGATGTTAGTTGAATTCAGGCTTTGGCTAACTAACCTAGCAGACTACTGATCTCATTTCTGAGTACTCAAGCTAACACCTTAAATCCATAACCCCAGGTGAGTATGACTATCAGTAAGTTCAGCCCAAGCAACTCTTGATCTAGCAACATTTTCTTCCGTGCCTTCTATGTCCTGTTTAAGAAATCTTTGCCCAAAATAAGGTCACGAAGATTTTCTTTGGTTAATTTTAGATGCTTCATGGCTTTTGTCTTTTTGTTTTTGTTTTTTGTTTGTTTGATTTTTGAAACAGGGTTTTCCTATAGCCCCAGCTGGGCTGGAACTCACTCTATAGATCAGGTTGGTTTTGAACTCATAGAGATCTGTTTGCCTCTGCCTCCTGAGTGCTGGGATTAAAGGTATGTGCCACCACGTCTGGCTATGGCTTGTATTCTTTCTTCTTCTTCTTCTTTGTCTTCTTCTTCTTCTTCTTCACATTTTATTATTTTTTAAAAATTATTTATTTAATAACCACATGAGTAGATGAAGCATTTTATTACAGCATTAACATATTCAATAAACAATTCCAGAGCAAAGATACAGCTTTTTCAAAATTGACTGTAAATTTTTAGGTTCACAGTTGAATTAATACAGTTATACAATATTGAACTCTGTATAAAGCCCATAAGACATAAAATTGAATGAGGTTTTAACTTTTTTTTTAATTACAACATAGAATAAGTAGATTTAATAAATGTTTATAGCATATTTCATCCAACAGCTGTGGAATATACATTCTTTTCAGCAGTCCAGGTAACTTTTTCTAAAATAAATCACATTTTTTTTATTCTTATTCTTTTATGAAGTTAGTTAAAAATTAATGAACAAGAAATTAAAGAGACTGCGCTGCAATTAAGTTAGAATATTCTAACTGGAAAACAATTACTGTGAAACTATTTACAAGTGCTCTTAACCACTGAGCCTTATTTTTTTAATTGTTTTGATCTTTTTGAGACAAGGTCTCCCTGTAGCCCCAGCTATCCTGGAACTCACTATGTAGACCAGGCTGGCCTTTCACTCACAGAGATCTGCCTGCCTCTGCCTCCCGAGTGCTGGGATTAAAGGTGTGTGCCACCAAACCCAGCTATTTTTTTAATTAAAAAAAATTTTTTAAATTTAATAATCCATGTTCGTTGCTGCTCTTTTCACAATAGCTAAGAGATGGAAGCAACCTAAGTGTCCCTCAACTGATGAGTGGATAATGAAAATGTTCATTTATGCAATGGAGTTTTACTCAGTAGTAAAGATGAAATCATGAAATTTGCAGGTAAAAGGATGAAACCAGAAACTGTTATACTAAGTAAAGTAACACAGACTCAGAAAAAAAAAAAATATGTTTTTTCTCATGTATGGATCCTAGCACCAAATCCTGATAAGTGATTATGTACCCAGACATAACTACAGGAACCAGGATAATGAAAAGGAACCAGGGAGGTAAAGGAAAAGAAAGAATCTGAAA